ATTATTATTTTATTATTTTCCAGTACTGGGTAAACCAAGGGCACTGAGAGTGGGAGACAAGCATTCTACCACTGAGCTATAGCCCCAGCTGAATTTGGTTATTTCTCTCTTAGGTTACTTACTTGTTACTTGAGTTTCTTTAGTGAATTGCTTGTTTCTTCATTGTGGTTTCTTCATTGTGGCTCAGCTTATGGACCACATATGCCCTATTTCTTTCATCTTTGCATTGTGACATCTACAGTCTTGTTTTAGAAAAGAGTGTGCCTGTGTCAAGTGCACAGAGCCACAGTGAGCAGTGATGACCTGTAGTTTTTGAAGAATTAGAAATCATGTTACTGTTTGTTTTTTAAACTAGGTTTTTGCAAGTACTTCCTGCTTGCACTGAAGATGAGAAATTGCTAATAGATATCATACATTTTTTGAATAAATTGATGAAAGAACAAAGAAAAAATCCATCAGTTGAACTTTTAAATTGGATTCTAGAGTTACTTCTTAGGCATGTAAGTATTGTTAAAAGAATTTATATTTTTGGTTTCAGAATCAATTGTGAAAATCATTATTTCATCAAAAAAGATGATACTTGGGGTTGGAGAGATGACTCAGCAGTCAACAGCACTGGCTGTTCTAGCAGACAACCTGGATTCTGTTCTCAGCACCCATATGGCAGCTAATAAACTCTCTGTAACTCCAGTTCCAGGGGACTCTGACACCCTTTTCTTTACCTCCATGGGCATTGCACAACACAGGTGCACAAATATACATGCAGGCAATACACTCATACACATAAAAGAAAAATAATAAATAAAAATTTTAAAAGGATGATATTTATATAGCCTGTGCTTAGTGAGTGTGCATAGCGATATGGTCTTCCTGATGTGTTTGACTCTGTGTTTATTTAATGGACATTATACAGCATGAGTCGGACTTTCATTGTCAATGTTTAAGAGATTCTGTTATGGGACTGGAGAGATGGCTCAGCGGTTAAGAGCACTGACTGCTCTTGCAGAAGACCTGGGTTCAATTCCCAGCACCTACATGGCGGCTACGAACCGTCCTTAACTCCAGTTCCAGGGGAATCTGAAGCCCTCTTTTGATCTCCATGGCATTGCATGACACAGTTGTGCTCACATGCATGCAGGCAACACTCATACACATAAAATAAACATAAATAAAATATTTAAAATAAAATAAAACGTAAAATTAAAAAAAAAAGAAATTCTATTTTATGTGTGAGCTTTCTGCTGTGTTTTTAATTTTAAGTGGGATACTCAGAGTAGAGTTGGGATTTCGGCTAGGAGGTAGGTAGCAAGGCCAGAAAGAGGCAGGATGATTATAGTGATAATAAGCTTGGAAAGAATGAGTATATGGGGCTCAGGCTTCAATATCAAGTCACTAGAAAGTTTACTCTTTAGCCCTTACTATTCTTGTGTTTTAGCTGTTTTCTAAGAAACCTGCTAAGAATTCCAGTAGCTAGCTCACTATGTGGTAATGATCAGTTTGTCTATCTTATGTACTTATTTTATTATTTAAAATAAATAGTTTATTTATTTTATGTTTGTGAACATTTTGTGTGCAGATATGTAAGTGCACCAAGTGTTTGCAATGCCATCAGAGGCCAGAAGAGGGCGTTGGATCCCTGCCTCCCCCAAACTGAATTTAAGATGGTTGTTCATTGCCATGTAGGTGCTGGGAGCTGAACCCAGGTCCCCTGGAAGAACAGACAATGCTCTTAGTTGCTGAGTCATCTCGCTAGCCTCCATCTATGTATTTATTTGCAAATGTCAGATGAACTTACCTAGTAAACGTGAACCTTTTCAAAATAAGAAAAGGCATATAGGAATTAGAAAAGAAAAACTAGCTGATCTAGAAGATAATAGACCTTATATATAAGGCAAATATGTCTGTTATGTGTTGGCATATTTACAAAGTTTAAAGAGATGATTCTAAGAATATCAAGTACTGTCTGTGGAAATTTGGAAATTTGAATTGATATATATGTTTGAAATGATATAAATGAATTGATATAAATGAGTTTTTTGATGGACATTCACAAAAGTGGGTTGTAGATTTTCTTTCTTTGAGGCGGCTATTTGGCACTGCCCACCGTGCGTCTTGTTGCCTTTCCTATAGCGGGTCCTTGTAGTTCCTTGAAGGCATTTCATCGCCTTCAGGCATAAGCTGCTGATGGAAGTAAAGTTGTACATGCAGACAGCACCAGTGTAGTGCACAAAGAAAATGAGGCATCAATGTAGATCGTTGCCTTTTTAGAGGCAAAAATGATAGCTCAAGTAGTTGGTTCAAAGTTAGTATCAATACTAATGTGTAAAGACAAAACCTTGGGCTATGCTTACACACCTGAGATCAGTAGGCATCAGCAGAGCCATCCATTCTGTTCCCTGTTGTCTTTGTCTTGTGTTTTAGAAATGTTGCTGCAGTTCATTGAATCTGAGTCTTCACAGGTAAATCAAAGATGGCAAAAGGAGAAAAGTCTCAGCAGTCCATAAGCAGAAACAGCGTGGACAAGATTTAACTTTAGATAGATATCTGGTAGCAGCATGGTGATCAGTAGTTCTGTTTAATTTTTACATGTATATCAGAATTTATGATTCCAGAAAATTAATTTTAGGCATTTGCATCTTAGTATGAATGCCTTGTTCACTTTGTCAGTGTTTATGGGAGTCAGTTGGCGTGTGTGGTCACTGTTCATTATTTAGGGTAAGAATAATATAGAAAATATATATATTTTTTGTGACCTGCTAAGTGTATGTCCTGATTCTTATTCATGAGAAAAACTGGAATTGGTGATTTTTTTCTTTTTTGTAATTTTAATTGTTCCAAGGGTATGTTTTGCTCAAGATAAAATAAAAACTTGGAGAAACTACTGCTTAGGCATAAAACAGGGTAAAGTAAATGAAAACCCAAACAACTCTCTCCAGCTCTTTTTCTGTGTTTCCAGTTGTATTATTTTTAGGCTTATGTATCTTTTTGATGAATTATTTACATAATTTGTAATATAAATAGTTTGGAGATTTTTCTTCATATTTTATCACTAAAGGTAATGCAGTAATTTTTAAATTGAGTTCTTCACATGAAAGATTTAATAAGAACAATTTAATCATTTTGTATGTTGTTATATGCATAGTGATGTGGCATAAACAAGTTTTGGAGTTTGATACATCTTGCTCTGCCGTTGGGATGCCTTAATCCCTTTATTAATCTGTTTTAAGAGATGAAAATACAGATCTCTAGTTTCCTCAAAAAATTAAATGAAACCTTGTTTTTTCTTCCTTTTTCACATAGTCTCTGTAACACTAAGATGATTAATAAATATTCCATGTAGCTGTTAGTGGTGCTACCTATTATATTAATAACATTCTCTAATCTCAATACTGTTAGAAATAAAACATTTACATACCATTAGCCACAGTTTTTTTGTTGGTAAACAGGACAAATTTGACACAGTGATAATTTTATTCATTTAGCCTATCAGATTGCAAACATTATAGCAGCAATAATCCTCAGAATTAGCTTAGATACTGTGGGACTTTTCACATTCTGCCTAGTCATGTACACCCGTATGCTTTTTGCAGGAGATATCTAGCAATATATTTCAAAAGGATTAAAACCATTACAGTGTTTTGATTTAGTGATATCATTGCTTAGAATTTTCATGAGTCATAATTACAGGTGAGCTCACTATTTGTTTCAGCTCACAGAAATTATGAGTGATTGAATGTCCAGTAGATACTATTGTAAGTCCTTACAGTTGAGCAAGTCAGGTATTAAAATAAAGTGAAGAAATATTGGTAATAACGGCAAGTAGAAAAAATTTTTTCATGGTGTGTTTTTCACTTAGTATCAGTGTTGTTTAAAACACACGATTAGGATTATAATTCTGTTTATATTACCAGTAGCAGGAACAAAAAGGAGAGTGTCCCACGGCACTGTGCAGCTCTTTGAGATGGGGTCATGCTTAATTTTGCTCGTTGTGCTTTCTTGTCTTGGTTGTCTATAGTACATATACTTGCTTCTTGTTCAGATAATATGACCCTGTTGAATTTAGAATATCTTTATTGATGCAGTTAAGACCCAGGCTACCTATTTTGTTAGTTATTTAATATAACACTTAGTAAGTCTAGAACATGGCAACAAAAACCTTTTATAGGAGACAACACATAGCTCAACTGGAAAATAAATATACATTTACGAATTTCCTTTTTTAGAATCCAAACCCACTTTTAGACCTCCTGGTTCTGGCAGAATCACAAGCACGAGAAGAAACAGATGATATCCAGACCGCTGTCCGACAACGGCTTCAGAAAGAACTGATTTCTCTCTTCAACACACTGCTACTCGTGTTCGTGACAGTCACTGACAGGTACCATTTGTATTGTTGATGGTTTGGGTACATTTATTTAAAACCTAGTTTTCTCTGATTTCCAAAGTTTGACTTCTTCATTCTTTAAATTAAGAGATAAAAAAGTACTCATCAAATAGGATTAGTGTTTCTGCTATAACCTGATTATAACTTTTCAGTCTTTTTAACCACACAATAAGCATGTATACTGTATTGGAGGACAGAATAAAGTGTTTTCATACCAGTGTCAGTGCAGAGGACTTTGATTTTTAGATGTGTGGTTTTCTCCTTGCCAGCAAACAAATAGCTCCGGAGCAGTATATAGCAATTGGTTTTGTCTAATTTAGTTTAATATGACTCTGTCTACCAGGTGATAGCATCAAATATCACAGGCTTTGAGGCCTTTAAACTCAAGACTTTCCCACTCACTCCCAACTTTAAATGCTCCTTGGCAGACTGTACTCTGACAGAGCAACTGTTGATCAGTATACCTTCTGGGGGTTCAGCATCGTTTCTGGGGGTTGATTAATTTGCATGCGTGGTTCACAGAAGCTAAAGCTATAGTTAGTGCATTTGCTGGTTTGTTTTACTAAGGGTGTGACAAAGGATACAGATGAAGATAACATAGTTAGTAATGTGGGAGAGCCCTGTACTTTTCTCTCTGGTGGTACCATCCTTCAGGAATGTTCTCTCCAAACCCAGTCCTTAGAGCTTTTATGCAGACTTGGTTGTATAAACATGCTTGCTTATGAGTAGGCAGGAAACCCAGCAAGGTACACATGCTATAGTATTCTTAATGGCCTTTCTGTGATACGTTCCTCCCTTCAGGGTATGAGCAGAACCCTCTGGAAAGAAAAGTCTTATGCTCTATCACCTACTGTCAGACAAGGGTAGGCCAGAAACTTTCTTTTAGATGTGGTTTCACTGTGCTGTGTAGCCTGGTCTGGGCCCAAGCCATCTTTTTTCCTTGGCTTCCCAAACAGCAGTGAACTTTTCTATTCCCAAGACAGAAATGATATTAAAGTTTCTATCACTTGCCTTGGGCAAGAGAAATACTAATTTCTTTTGCTGTCTTGGGGAGGGAATTATGAACAAGGAACCATGGAAAATATTTTAAAAATCTTTACCTCAAGGTACGTGTGCACACACATGTAGTATGGTTATTTCTTATCCTCTCAAGACTTTTCTTCCTAACAATTTTATTAGCTTATATTAATTGTATAAAGTAGGGAGTTTCATTATGACGTTTCCATACATGCATATAATGTCCTTGGATCATATTCACTGCTTGGCTTCTGTTACTGTATGGCCCTTCTCTTCTCCTCCTTTTTTCTTTCCTTCCACATCCTGGTATTTTCCCTATTAGTTTCATGTGCATCCCCCCCCTTGTTTCTATATATGAGAGAAAACACCTGATATTTCATTTTATGAGAATGCCTTATTTTGCTTGACATGATGATCTGTCTATCCATTTTCCTGTAGATGACTTAGTTTTATTCTTTGTTATGGTGAGTAAAATTTATTATGTATGCAATACTACATTTTCTTCATCTGCTCATCTGATGATGGGCCTTTGGGCTGGCCATCCTATCTAGGTATTGTAAATAGAGCCAAGAGAAACATAAGTGTACAGATAACTATTTAGTAAGTGGACTCTGATGCTTTGGGTTATATTCTCAGAAGTACTGTAGCTGGACCATGTGTAAGTTCTGTTTTCTAATTTTTTGAAGACCCCTTATATCCTGATTTCCATAGTAGTTAGACTATATTCCCACCAGCAGAAATAAGTTCCCTGCTTGCCGTTTTCTGTAGTATTTGTAGTATTTTTGAAGGTAGTCATTCTGACTAAAGGGAGGGAATCTTGATGAATTTTAATATGCATTTCCATGATGACTAAGGATGTTGAACAATTTTTATGATTTTTTGACCATCTTTATTTCATTTTAAAATTGTGCATTTTAATTTTCTGTTTATTGATTAGACTATCTTCTTTTTTTGTTTTGTTTTTTAAATTTTAATTTCTTTATATATTCTATCTCCTGCTAGATGAATATTTGGGAAACGTTTTCTCCCATTCTACAGGTTGTCTCTTTACTTTGTTGATTATTTCTTTTGCTGTGTGGAAGTGTTTTAATTTGGTACAGCCTCATTTGTCAATTCTTGCTCTTATTTCTTGAGTAGATAATTTATATTGAGAGTCGATCTCACCTCAGTGAGAATAGCTGCCATATCTTTACGTGGTTTGCCTGTGTTTTTCTCTAGCAGTTTCAATATTTCAGCTGTAACATTAAAATATTTGATCCATTTTGAATTGATTTTTGGATGTGGCAAGAGAGTTGAATCTAGTTTCATTCTCATAATATGAATATCTAGTTTTCCTAGCACTTGTTAAAGAGGCTATCTCCTTTCTGTCCAATTAGGGCTTTGACTCCTTTGTCAAGAGTTATTTGGCTAGGTGCTTGGGCTTATTTCTAGATCTTCTGTTCCACTGACCTGATGGGTGTTTTTGTGCCAGTATCATGTTGTTTTTATTACCCTGAAACTATGTATAATTTGAAGTCGGGTACTCTGACATTACACTTTTTATTTCAAGATTGCTTCAGTTATTTGGGATCTTTTGGGGTTTACATATTAATTTTAGGATTTTTTTTTTCTATGTCTGTGAGGAATGCCATTGGAATTTTGATGGAAATTTCTAGTTCCATCCATTTACCTGCAAATTACATGATTTTGTTCTTCTTTACTGCTGTGTAGAACTCCATTATGTAAATGTACTATATTTTCATTATCCATTCATCAGTTGAAGGACAGTTAAGTGGCTTCCATTTCCTAGCTAATGTGAAAATAGCAATAATAAACATGACTCTGCAAGTATCTCTACAGTAGGATGGGTCCTTTGAATATATGCCAAGGAATGGTACAACTGGATCATATGGTAGATTTGTTTTTAGTTTTTAAGGAGTTCTCCACACTGATTTCCACAATGGTTGCACCAGTTTGCAACCCCACCAGCAGTGAATAAGTGTGGTCCTTTCCCCACATTCTCTCTTGCATTTGGTGTCATTTGTTCTCTTGCTCTTACCCATCCTGACTGGGGTACGATGACATCTTAAGGTAGTTTTGATTTGCATTTCCCTAATTACTGAGTATGTTGAACACTTTTTAGGGTGTATCTTAGCTGTTTTTATTTCTTCTTCTTAGAGCTCTCTGTTCAGATCCATAGCCCATTTTTAAATTGGGTCACATGTTTTCTTGATTCTTTGTTTCTTGAGTTCTTTGTGTATTCTGAATATTAATCAATCTTCTGTCAGATGTATAGCTGAGAAGATTTTCTCCCACTCTTCACTCAATTGGTTGTTTCCTTTGCTGTACAGAAGCTTTTTAGTGTAATGAGGTTCCATTTGTGGATTGTCAATCTTAATTCCTGAGCAAATCATGTCCTATTTAGAAAATCCTTTCCTGTATCTATATCTTATAAGGTACTGCCTGTGTTTTCTTCTAACTGTTTCAGGGTTTCGGGTTTCACATTAGGTCTTTGATCCATTTGGAGCTGACTTTTGTGCAGGGTGATAGATATGGGTCTAATTTCATTCCTCTGTAGGTGGAGATCCAGTTTTGCCAGTACCATTTGTTGAAAATGCTGTTTTTCCTCCAGCGTGTGTTCTTGGCACCTTTGTTAAATATTAGGCGATGAAATTGCATGGACTCATGTTTGAGTCTTCTATTTTGTTCCGTTAATGTACATGTCTGTTTTTGTGCAAGTACCATGCTAATTTTATGGTTGTAGCTCTGTAATATAGTTTGAGATCTTGTGCTTAGAATTGCTTTGACTATCACAGGTCTTTTGTGATTCCATATTAACTTTAGAATGGCTTCTTTCTATTTCTGTGAAGAATGTCATGGGGATTTTGATTGGGATTGCATCAAATCTCTAAACTGATTTTAGTATGATGGTCATTACTTTATTCAGCCTTTATAGACTGCATATTTCTAAGAATTCATCTGATATAGATCATCTTGTATATAAGTATTTTCTAGGTTCCTTAGTGACTTCTTTGACACATTTGGTGGCATAAGAGTTTCTTGTGTAATGTGTGCATTATTTATGAATTTTACTTTTTCTCAGTACAATTATTTTATCCCATTGTGACTGGATTATCTGCTGAAACATCTCACCTTCTGAGCTTGCTTTCTGAGCTTTTATTTAGATACTTTTTGCTGCAGTTCTTAACCATTGTTT